AGGCAACTTTATGAATTGCTTGGAAATATCGCCTGACACAGTGCAGGAAGGCGAGCCCCTTGGGTTGGAAGGCACTTAAAACAGGACTGGGAAAGAGCTGTCACATCAGAGTAGAACCAACCTTAATGATATGGATAAAGTAAGTCTTTCAGGACCTCCATGTGCTGACATGGCATGACTCAAATTGAGGAGAAACAGTTGCAAACATCCATTAATAATAGGATCATGGGATGTACGAAGTATGAATCTAGGAAAATTGGAAGTTGTCAAAAATGAAATGGAACGCATAAAGATTGATATACTAGGCATTAGTGAGCTGAAATGGATGTGTTTTGGGCATTTTGAATCAGACAAACCTGCAAAAACGGCAAGGAGGCCACATCTTCTGACCTCCTCTAACCCTACAAAAGGAAGACAGGATTACCAGCAGTAACTCAAGGCCTATTCCTACAAGGCCAGACATGCTGCCTTCCTTCAGCCCTTTCACTGACCATTCCTCCCAAAGCACCCACCACCTCTCTCCTGGGTTTGATAATTCACTGCAGTGGCCACACAGAACTCACAGATTATGAGGTTTATTAGGGAAGCACCACAGGCTACAATTTGAGTTCAGGAAAAATGCTCAGTCTCTTTCCCAGCCCACCGTCCCTCAGCCAACAGTCTCACAGTCTCTCTCCCAGCAGTGCATGTCCCTTGGTGTCTTACTCAGCAACGTGTGTCTCTTGTGTCTCTTTCCCAGCAACGCGTGTCTCTTTCAGGGGCGCGTGTCTCTTTCGGCAGCACGTCTTCCTCAAACAGTAGTCAGAGAGAGAGTTCTGCCTCTAGGAGACCTCCTTTTGAGCCTGGCAGAGTGGCCAAACTAGCCAATCACAGCATCAGAACTCTAAGCACCTGAGAGAGAGTGGGCACCTCCCAGAACATTGTTTTGTGCCATGCCCAACAGAAATACTCCAGGTGGACAACTTCAGCAATCAGGAGCTCCTCAGTTGCTCATAGAAAATCCCACCTTGGAGTTTACAAAGACTTATGGGTAGAAAAGCCACACTAAGTAATTTACTGCACCGCACAACCATATGATCCACTATGCCAGGAATGAAAAATTGAAGAGGAATGGTGTGGCATTCTTCATCACAAAGGATGTTTCAATATCTGTTCTGAAGTACAATGCTGCCAGTGATAGGATAATATCTATATGCCTACAAGGAAGACCTGTTAATACTATTTTATTTGAATCCACACAAATTATTATTCTAATTAATTAATTAATGTTGAATCAAATCATGATTCTTATTTATTATTAATTATTTAACTAAATAATTAGCTATTATTCAAATTAACACTGGAGATTGCATGATAGAATTTTGCAAGACCAATGACTTATTCACTGCAAATATCTTTTTCCCACAACACGAATGGCAATTATACACGTGGACTTCGCTAGATGGAGTACACAGGAATCAGATTGACTACATCTGTGGTGAGAGGAGATGGAAAAGCTCAATATCTTCAGTGAAAACAAGGCCAGGAACTGATTGTGGAACAGACCATCAACTGCTCATATGAAAGTTTAACTTGATGTTGAAGACAATTAAAACAAGTCCACAAGAGCCAAAGACTTCACATTGCTTGGTTCTACAATTGATGCCAATGGAAGCAGTAGTCAGGACATCAGACAACGTATAGCATTGGGCATATTGGCTGCTAAGGACCTCTTTCAAGTGCTGAAGAGCAAAGACATCTCCTTGAGGACTAAGGTGTGCCTGACACAAGCCATGGTAGTTTGAATCACCTCATATGCATGTGAGAGCTGGACAATGAATAAGGAAGACTAAGAAGAAGAATTGTTGCTTTTGTCTGTGGTGTTGGTGAAGAATGCTGAAAGCACCATGGACTGCTAGAAGAACTACAGGTCTGTCCTGGTTGAAGTGCAGCCAGAATGTTCCCTGCAGGTGAGAATGACCAGACTTCGTCTCACATACTCTGGTCATGTTGTCAGAAGGGACCATTCCCTGGAGAAGGATGTCATGCTCGGTAACATGGAGGGTCAATGAAAGAAGGGAAGGCCCTCAACAAGATGGACTGACACAGTGGCAGTGGCGATGGGCTCAACTATAGCAAGAATTATGGAGCTGGCTCAGGACCAGGCAGTGTTTCATTCTGCTGTGCAGAGGATCGCTATGAGTTGGAGATGGAGACAAGTCAATGGCACCTAACAACAACAACAACCACTCTGCCAAGCACTGCAGCAGCTCAGGGAGACTGCACTCCTACCCTCCATGCTTTGACGAGGTATAGTATTATAAAATACTATGCTTTTTAAGCTTCCTTTTTACATGAACATCAGGGACCTAGATGTTTTTTACTGTCAGACTGCACCTCCTTAATGCACAAAAGAGTTGGATAGTAGATATTTGACTATTGTCACAAATGTAAAATACCAGATAGTTGATAGGTGAGAAGTATGTGTATTAAGAGGTGGCATTTGACTGTTAACTAGAAGGCTGACAGTTCAAATCCACCAGCCACTCCTCAGAAGGAAAGTTGGGCAATCTACTTCCATAGTGATACTGCCTCACAAACCCAAAGAGGGGTCACTATGAGTCAGATCTGATCTGACGGCAGTGAGTTTGTTTGTTTTGTTTGTATCTTCTTTTGTAAATAGGGAAAATGAAGGCATGAAAAATACGTTATAGTTTTATATGTTTTGAATGCTCTTACTTTAGTGACAAAAGCAGATTTTACTCAGCAGCATGTTTTTATTACTTTTATGTAACTGGTCTCTGATTTACAAATTTAAATTTGTGATATAGTAAGTAGAATACATCTTTTCTAATAGCAGTCTTAAAAATAAATAATTAAGGGTGAGACAATTGATTTGATCTCACAACCTTGGGAAAGATAGACTAAGGACTAGATTTTGTCTGACCACTTTGTGTCATATCTTAACTAAAGGTGCTACACTTTGAGATAAGATTCAACTCTCTGGCTTCTCTCTTGACTGGGGCCTTGATGCTGTTGGAGAAAATTCACTGCACATAGTAATATATTGTTTTTGAAGTATATCTCAATCTGTGATGAGACATTTATTTACTAATTTATTATACCAAAAAAACAAAAACAAAAACAAAAACAAACTCACTGCTGTCAAGTTGGATCTGACTTATAGTGACCCCCCCTTGGGTCTCCAAGGCAGTATCACTATGGAAGTAGATTGCCCAATCTTCCTTCTGAATAATAATTTATTATAGATTCTTAAAAAAACTTAAGAGTTTTCTAAAGGAATTCTTAATCCATATGCATTTCCAAAACTTAAATCTCTTTATTCCTGAATTTTCTCTGCTATTAAAAATACTATAATCTTGTTTTTGGTTTCTCAGTGAAAGTTGGGATGTTAGTAGAAAATATCTGAAATAGGTTAGTGTGCGTTACCTGGCATATATATGAATTTGTGTATGTATATATATATGTGCATTTGTATACCAATATTATGTGTGTGTATACACACACACACACACACACATATATATATATACACATACACATATATATATGTATGTAGGGAGCTCTGGTGGCATAATGCCTAAGGCATCTGACTGCTAAACAGAAGGCTGGTGGTTCAAATTCACTAGCAACTCCTCGGGAGGATGGTTGGGCAACCTACTTCCTTAGTGAGGCAAGGCAAGGAGGGGTCACTATGACTCATGTCACTCGATGGCAGTGAGTTTGGTTTTGGTTTATATGTATTATGTGTACCTGTGTGTGTGTGTGTGTGTGTGTATACTCTTGAGTACATATTTTTTTACCCAAATAAATTTAAGGTAGGTAACTTATTTTATTAAACATAATTTAGCTATTTTTTTAGCTTCATTAAAATACATCATGGAAGTATAATTTTGCACATTTTACATATGAGAAAACTACACCTCCAAAAGTTAAATAACTTTCTCAGCTCATTTATTAACAACTCATGATGACAAATGAAAGATGCCCAACAAAAGAACAGCACAGCTTGACCAAGCTTAGAAAACACGTCTAAACAATTCACAGTTGTTTCTGTACATTATACTCTTAATATTCAAGTTCTCTTCATGCTTATCTTCCAGAGGTGTCTGTCCTATAGCTCCTACTGGCATCTACCATCTTCCCTCAGCAGTCATTCCATTTCTCAGAATCCTTGATTCTACCACTAAGCTTAAGTGAACTCTACCTTGAAAATTAGTTCAACAGTTTTTCAAATTCCCAGGCTACTTGCACTTTGTTTTTGATATTTAGTGTTCATTTTCTGTTTCTATGTACCACCAGTATCTAGAACTTTCTTTAATTTGGCTTCCTAGTTTAACAAGGTTCTCTTTCATTATTTATTTAATTTATGTTACATGACCACTTGTATTTAATTAGAAGCTGATATTGGCTTTAGCAGTTATTTATAAGGGAATAAATATATTTCAACTTTAACAAATACTTTCTTTCATTTACCAGCATTTTTTGTTTATAACAGAAAATTTTATATTTAATCACATACTTAATATAATAACACCATGAAAAAGACACAATACAGTTGAACTTTGAATTATATTTTCAATTTTTTTTCCCCAAAGTCATATGGTTACTTAAGAGCAATGTTGGGTTTTTAAAAATATTACCAGTTTTAATTCCTAGTCAAGGAATTATCATCTCTCTCTCTCTCTCTTTTTCACATTGAAGTCTTCTAATACAGTCTCTATCTTGGTATAGGGTCAACATAAACAAGGGAAACCCTCAGTGAAATGGATCAACACATAGCCACAGCAATGGACTCAGACACATCACCAGTCACGATGGTGCAAGACCTAGCAACATCCTGTTAATATAATAACAATTCAATTACCAGGAGTTTCAGACTGGATGGCACATAACAACATTTCTTCCTCCATCTATTCTACTTACAGATTCGAGGATAGTGGTCTCTTGAGTCCATGTTACCCAAATAAAATTATTGCCATATACTTAAACTCTAATCTTTAGTGCATCTTCCTCTGAAAAAGGAGATGAAAGATTCCCTGTCGAATCTGCTTAGTCTTTACACTGTAAATTATGGGGTTCATCACAGGAGGTGCCAGCAGGTAGATGTTGGCCAAGATCACATGAACCGGTGGAGATGCATGCTTGGCAAAGCGATGAGTCATAGATACACTAATCATGGGGACATAGAGGACCAAAACAGCCAGAAAATGGGACAGACAGTTATTGAGGGCTCGTAGCCGCTCAGTCCAGATGGCTGTGCTCAAGATACTTCTCAGGATGAGTGCATAGGAGAGCACAATGAGCAATGGGTCTACAACAATAATGAGCAACACTACCACAAGTGCATACCAGCTATTGATCCGGATGTCAGCACAGACCAGGTGAATCATATCCTGGTGGAGACAGTAGGAGTGAGAGAGGAGATGGGAGTGGCAGAAGGGCAGGCGCTTGAGTAGGAAAAGGGAAGGAAGAACGGCCAGAACACAGCGGCAAATGATGGCTAACCCAATTCTGCCAATGACTTCATTGGTGAGGATGGAGGCATAATGGAGGGGGTGACAGATGGCCACATAGCGGTCAAAGGACATAGCCAGCAGGACAGAGGATTCCATGATCGAGAACCCATGGAGGAAAAAGAACTGGGCAAAACAGGCTTCAAAGCTGATCTTGTGAATATTGAACCAAAGGAGCTACATGACTGTGGGCAGGGTGGTGAGGGTGAGACCAAGGTCAGTCAGGGCCAGCATGGAGAGAAATAGGTACATGGGCTGGTGGAGGGATGGCTCTTTGTGAATGATGGTGAGGATGGTGCTATTGCCCATGATGGAGATGGTGTAGAAGCAGCAGAAGGGGATGGAGATCCAGATGTGAGATGCCTCAAATCCAGGGATGCCCGTGAGGATGAAGAAGAAGGGATTATGGGTAGTGTTAGTTATTTGGGACATGACAGATGAATGAGGCTCCAGATTTCAGAATCTTTTCTTAAACAGAACCAGAAACATTGGAAATACTCTTCTAATTCCCATAATTTTGTCTTTACTCCATTTAACCTAAACTCTATTCAAATAGAGATTTGAAATAGAGTTGTTGGGGCTAACTAAGGAAGGGTTGGAGAACACCATTTTGCCCTTTCTTAGCTATCCCTCCAGAGGTTGTTTCTACACAATGCTTCATAATCCCCCTTCTTAAGTTAATGTAGATTAATTTGTTGGAACCACTTAATTTTGTTTTTTGTTCCATTTACTTCTCAGCAATTTGAAATATCCTTTCAACCATATCATATTACTAGTACTGTTCTCACAAATATTTACAATGAACTGCTAATTGAAAAAGCAATAGCTAATATTCAGTCCTGATCTTTTTTGAGGTCTTTATATTCAATATGTTTTTCTGAATTCTCATTTGACTTTGATAACAATACTCTCATCTATTTCATAGCTCTCTCATATTCATCTCCCACTTTTATTATATTTTAAGGTCATTCTTTCTCAAGGTGGGTCATAATTTCTTGTCTAACATATCACTTTTTTTTTTTCATTAGTTAATATCACCTGTTACCATGGATTGTATTTCTATGATATAAAAAACTAACTGGAAGCAAACGGCAGGTGCATAGGAGAGGAGTTAGAGAAGACCAGTCAGAAGGCTCTTATAATAGCCCAGGTGAGGACAATCATGTTTATTCAGTGCTTGCTATGTTTAGTCATTGTTCTAAATGTGTTTGTTCCCTGTATTAATTTTCTTCTTCCTCATACAATAGTTACCATCCCTCTTGTTTTCTCCAATGATTCATAGAGGAATCTTACCTGTGCTTTCGTATGTCCGGTGTCCTGTTCAGTAATTGTGCCCTCTGTTTTCTCTTCTAGACTCAGGGGCAGGTGTATGTAATAACCTGTTGTGGGTCTCCAGGCTGGAGGGTGAGAAAGTGTGGCAGGTCCCTTTAGGGTTATGTGAATAGGCATCTTGAGACCTAGATTGGTAACCTGGTAAGTCAGCTCTGTCAGTAATTGCCTTTGCTAAATTCCAAACGGATTAAGTAGTTTACTGTAAATCAGGAACAATATAAATAATAGAGAAAATAATGCAAACATTCAAATCTCTTATTGGAATGTCTCTCTAAATTTTGCAAAAATAGACGAAAATCATCAAGGTAAAGACGAGTGGATATGAACACAGAAAAACTGAATATTTCTCTATAAATAATGATACTGAGAAGAAACTTCAAAAGACACTTATTAAAACATGCTATCATTGCTGTTAAGTGAACTCCTACTCATGGTGACCCCATATGGGTCATGGTAGAAATGTACATTATAGGGTTTTTAACTGGCTGTTTTTTAGAAGTAGATCATCAGGCTTTTCTTCCAAGTTCCTTTTTTGTTGTTGTTGCTGTCATGTGCCGTGGAGTCGGACCCGACTCGTAGCAACCCCTCCTTGGGTTTCCGAGGCAGTACCACTACGGAAGTAGATTGCCCAAACTTCCTTCCGAGGAGTGGCCCAGCCTCCTGGTTAGTAGTCAAGTGCCTTAGGCACTACACCACCAGAGCTCCCCCGAGTTCCTTTGGATGAACTCAAATTTCTAATCTTTTGTTGTATTTGCAACATCCGAGACTCCAAATCATGCCATAAACCAAAAACCAAACCCACTCCCTGAGTCAAATTCCAACTCATAGCAACCCGAGAGGATAGAGTAGACTTAACTGCCCATGGGGTTTCCAAAGCTGTCAATCTTTATGTGAGCAGACTGTCATACCTATCTTCCACGGAGTGTCTGGTGGGTTCAAACCACCATCTTTTCAATTAGCAGTCTAGCACTTAACCACTGTGTTACCAGGCTCCTTACAAACATGCTGTAAAAAGCATTAATTTCTTAAAAGCAAAGATACATATATATATATATATATATATATATATATATATAAGCTCTGGTAGCATAGTGCCTAAGGCACTTGACTGCTCACCAGAAGGCTGGCTGTTCAAACCCACCAGCCACTCCTCGGAAGGAAGGTTGGGCAATCCTACTTCCGTAGTGATACTGCCTGGGAAATCCAAGGAGGGGTCGCTATGAGTCGGGGCCGACTCGACGGCAAACAACAACAACAACAACATATATATATATTATATAAACACTTATTAATGTTAAGACCATGATAAAATAATAATGAGAAATAATATGACATTCATAAAAAAATAAATATAACTATAAATAAGCATAAAGCAATGATCAGTTTTATACAAGACTTTAATAACTGGAAAATTAAACCACGTACCTTTTTTTAAAATTAACCTTTCTAAATAGCAGAGCATTTTTAATGGCATTATGCAATATAGTTAAGGGCACAATGATGCAGAAACCTTCACACTTTCCTGATGGAAGTGTAACTTGTACATTAATTTCTAGAAAACAATTTGTGTATATATGTCACTTTTATTCATGTACATACTTTCATTCAGTAAATTTACTTCTGACACTGAATGGTAATAAGATAATTAGATGCAAATAAGGCTTTATGTTAAATATTGTCACTTAGACTTATTAGTAATAACCAAAAAGCAGAAATCATATGTCAAACATATTAAGTTATATACCTATATTTATCTGTATATATCATGGCCATTAAAATAATAAAGATTATGCAACTATAGTTGTTTCCAAAGATCATAATTACTATTTATGTTATAAACCAAAAAAAAAACCTCACTGCCATCAGTTGGATTCCACTCATAGTGACTCCTCCTTGGGTTTCCGAGGCAGTACCTCTATGGAAGTTGATTGCCCAATCTTCCTTGAGAGAAGTGACTGGTGGGTTTGAACTACCAGCCTTCTGGTTAGCAGTCAAATACCTTAGGCACTATGCCATCAGAGCTCCTTCATTTATGTTATATTGTACTAGAAATAACACTATACTTGTGCTGGGTCTAAGTTCTATGGCAATATTGCTCAGTTAAAGCTTATAAGGACCTTTAGAGGAAGGAGCTATTATTATTTTTCATGTAAATTAGGGATTAGAGAGTTCAAGTCACTTGAAAATGTGACATAGATTTTGAGGAAATGGCAGAACAAAGATTTGAAGTTAGTTTGGTTGGATTTTGAAGTCAGAGTACCTAACTACCATGTTCTTAAAAATGCTTTTTTTCAGGTGTCTCTGGCATCATCTTATTAGCTGGCATTATAAAGACATGCTTTGCTCTTGGATGTAGACATAATGTAGGAAGTATAAGTAAAGTCTTAACCCATCATCCTCATATCACAGTATCTGTCATACACCCGTGTATCCAAAGTTCCCATATTGACAAAATTGGGCAAGATAAAATTATGTGTCATTTAATTATTTAAGAGGATGATAATTTAGACAATTAGGCAGAAACCGAAGAGTTAATTCACTGAAGCCATGTGAAAGCATCATGTGGTTCAAGGAATGAGCTGACTGATCAGAAAGCACTTTATCACTGATCTCAAATGTCATGAATCGAAGCACAAAGGACCAGTGATACAGTTGTGTCCCAGGGAATTCTGCTGAGAAGAGCTCATAATTTTTAATGCTTTTCCTTAACCAATACATGTAGGAGACTCCTGAAAGAGATCAGGCATCCATGATTCATCCAAGAAGATACTATCACTTTCCAGCAATTGTTTTCCACCTCAGAGGGACTGCGAAGACTAAATGTGCATAGAGGAAAGTCCTTTTTCTTTTCTTTCTTTTTTTTTAACTTTTATTGTGCTGAAAACATACACAACAAGACATTTGGCAATATAAAAACTTCCACGTTTACAGCTCAGGGACACTGATAACATTTTTCATGTCGTGCCATCATTATTGCTATCCTTTTCTGAAATATTCCACCACCACTAGTATAAACTCAATGCCCTGCAAACAAAAGCTCCTCCTTTCCCCCTTCCTCCTACTCCCAGTAACCACTAAATCTTTAGTTTCTATATATATACATTTATTTTCTATTTAGGAATTTTCCCCCTCCTCTCCTTCCGTCCCTGGTACCCAACAAAGAAAGTTTCCTTCCATGTATAAACCTTTCCTTGACTTCTTACAATAGTAAACTAATACAATGTTTGTCCTTCTCTGATTGCCTTATTTCACTCAGCATAATGTCCTCCAAGTTCATCCATGTTATGTGGTGTTTTGCAAATTCTACATTATTCTTTAGGGTTGCTTGGTATTCCATTGTGTGTACCACAGTTTGTTTATCCATTCCTTGGTTGATGAGCACTTAGGTTGTTTCCATCTCTTTGCTATCGTGAACAGTGCTGCGATGAATGGGGGTGTGCATACATCTATTCACATCCTGCTTCTCACTTCTATAGGATATATACCTAGTAATGGCACTGCTGGATCAAGTGATATATTTATTTCCACCTTTCTAAAAAGGCTGGCAGTTCAAACACACTAGCCACTCCTCGGAAGGAAGGTTGGACAATCTACTTCCATGGTGATATCACCTGGGAAACCAAAGAGGGGTTGCTATGAGTCAGTCCAACTCTATGGGACATAACAACAACAATGACAACAAGGAATTGCCATACAAATTTCCACAGTGGTTGCATCATTTTACAGTCCCACCAGCAGTGTACAAGAATCCTAATCTCTCCACATCCTTGCCAGAATTTTTTATTTTCTATCTTGTTGAACTTTGCTATTCATGCTGGGGTGAGATGGTAGCACATGGTTGTTTTGACTTGCATCTCTCTAAAGGCTAATGACTGTGAACATTTCTTCATGTTTTTGTTGGCTGCCTGAATATCTTCTTTGGTGAAGTGTCTATTCCTGTCTTATTCCCATTTTTTAATTGGATTGTTTGTCTTTCTGATGTTGAAGGGTTGAAGTTTTCTGCAGAATTTAGAGAAAAGTGTTTTGTCTGATATGTCATTGCTGAGTATATTTTTCCCATTCGGTATGTTCTATTTTTACTCTTTTGGAGAAGTCTTTGAAGCATG